TTAAGTTTATTTACTTGATATTCTGAAATAATGCTTTCCGGAAATATAAGGACTTAAGTTTATTTACATGCATACTCTCAAATAATCCTTTCCGGAAACAAGCTTATATTTTAATATTTCCGGAAACTTAAGTTTATCGTTTGATTTATTTATTCTGAAAATTAAGTTTTCCGGAAACCTAAGTTTATTAACCTGATTCTTTAACGTTTTCCGGAAATATAGATTTATATTATAACTATGTATAAAATCAGAATTTGACCCAAGTGCTTTTCACCCTCCATTTTTTTATGTTATTCATTTAGTATGGCTAGTTTTTTTCTTATTTTAAAATTATTATAAATTGATTTTAATTTTTAAATTTTATAAGTTAATTGAATAAATAAATGATGGAGTTTTTGGAGAATTATTTTTAGAAATTTATTTTTTAATTATAATATGTGCAATCTTTATTAGTAATAATTATTTACCAAACTAATTTTTGTAAAAAAAGCAAAAAAAAATTATTTGAGGTCGTAGCTGTATGTGATAGTCGCCGAATTTCAGTCATGGTCAATTATTTTGAATTTTTTATTTATTCCCATTATTCCCTTTAATTTTGAAAAATCATTCTTTGGAGATTATTTTTTCAAAATAATTTTTAAAAATATTTATAGATAAGATGAACAATAAAAATAATTAATTTAAAAAAATCTGTAGAATATCAGCAATAAAAGGAGGAATGAATAATAACTCAAATTTTTTATTAAAATGCTTTCCCAAATTTTTTACAATTTTACCGTTATTATTATTACTAATTTTGGTATTTAATTAATTTTTAATATAATACTAATTAAGATTAATATTTTAATTTCTTTAAAAAGTTACTTGGCGATGATCCCATTTCTATACAAATTGGATTCGTAGGCAAAGTAGATGCCCTTCCACCAAGTGAAATCTGCGATAATTGTCAAAAGTATATTTTTATGAAATTTTTATTTGAAAGAATACATGATTTTCGGAAAATCATTTAACGAATATAACTTTCCGGAAAGTTTATAATTTCCGGAAAGTTTATAATAAACCATTTTTTTGGAAAAAATATATTTAAAAATAATTCGTTTCCGGATGATTTACTACATAAATACTTTTCCGGAAATAATTTTCCGGAACTAATATACTTTTCCGGAAATAATTTTCCGGAACTAATATACTTTTCCGGAAATAATATAATAAATCATTTAAACTTTCCGGATGACTTTTTCTGAATTATTTAGAGTTATTTTCTATGCTTTTCAACATTATCGTCAATCAAGTACCAAACGTCTACTTAAACATTGGATAAAGCATTTATGTAATCGTTATTTTGAGGTATAATTTTAGCCAAAATTATCACAAAATTTGACCAATATTTTCAGTACCGACGCCGTTGTCATTCCAAATTGGTGCATAATTTTCGCGAAATTTGGAGTGATATGGAAAGCATTCTTGATACAAGTCAACGACAGAGACTTAGGCACTATAATGAAGTTGATACAAAATTTAAGCCATACAAGACATGCGAAAAATTGAAGGGTATTAAATTAATTTATTATAGCAAATTAATTTTTTAAAAATTAGAATGTGGAAAAGAACAATCGCCTATTGACTGGACAAAAGGAAAACAAATTTCTGTAGAAAATGAATCGTGGACAGAAATAACTCCCAAACAAAATAGCGATGAAGTTTAAATGTTTTTAAAATTAAACGTTATTTATGTAAATATGTATTTATTTAATTAATAAAATACAGGGTTTCAGGAATACTATATATAGTATAAGCTATAATAAACTTTATAATAAAACACTTATCTCCGGAAATAATATAACTAACAACGAAATACATGCCTTCCGGAAAAGTATAAAATAAATATAACTTTCCGGAAAGTATATAATATAACATTATTTTTCCGGAAACTATTACATAGTATCGTATCATTAACAACAAGCAACTACTTTCTTAAAATCTATTCTTGAATCCAAATCTGTTCTTCTTTGTATTGCATGCTTCATTCTCTTCTTTGGATGGTCTTTATGATAATGCGGTAGGAAAGTCTTTTCATCTTAAAAATAATTTTCACTTCAATTTTATTTTTTTACGGTTACCTTTATTATTTTCACTCCACCTCTGATATTCACTATTAACATTTAAAATATTAAAAACACTTTGGTCTTGTCTATGACAAACTCCAATTAACCCTAACATGTGATCATTACAATAAAGCGCTGAAGAAGCTGGCTCAATACATTCTTGAGTAGCTGCACAGAGAAGAGCCCTTTTATTCAAATTTAATTTTTCATTTTTATTTACTAACCATTTAAGAAATTTTCTTGTATATTCGCTTTTATGGAATACAAGTAAATTAGCTTCATACATGTTAGAATCCCATTTTGAGCTTGCATTTATCCAATCGGTAATCATTGGCAAATAGGAATACATTCCTATAATTAGGTCAGGAAAAGTAACATGATTATAAACATTTCTGAAGGTTACATATATTTACTTATAGCTTTGCCGGAAAAATAACATGCTTTTAATATCTATTACTTATATTTATATTTTCCGGAAAACATTTATTTGCATAAATTAATATATTCCGGAAAGAAAAATATATTTTATTAAAAACTTTCCGGAAAACAAATATTTTCAATACTAATTAAATAGTTATATTTTCCGGAAAACCCTTATGTTTTATTATAAACTTTCCGGAAACCATTGTCTTCAATATTAAATAAATATTAATATTTTCCGGAAAAACATGTATTTCCATAATTAATATTTCCGGGACTAAACTATATTCTATAATAAACTTTCCGGAAGTCATCTTTTTTCATTATTATTTAGGTAGTATTTTCCGGAAAACCCTTATGTTTTATTATAAATTTTCCGGAATCTTATATTATATTCTCTTACTTGGGTTCGTAGCAAAGCGAATACCATGGTGATTATCTTAAAATTGTATTTATAATTTATTTAATAAAATTCTTTTTTAACCACTAGGAAGAACAACGGGTGAAATACTCCCGTTTTCAATAGAGTCAAATAATGGAATTAAAGCAGAAGCTTCTACAAATTGTATTGAAGTATCACACCAAATAAAAGTGTCAAACTCTGAGAATATTTGCTGAAAATTAATTTTGATTTTCTTTTAGATAAAATAATTATTTTAAAATAATATACAGCCATAATAAAAATTTTCCAGGCAAAGAATTGTGAGGAATGTACACTTTTAGGCATAATATTCCAATCAAATTTTCTCCATTCCAATTCACAAACTAAATCTATTTCTTTTTTCTATTAAAATTTAAAATAATTTTTTAAATTATTTTAAGAACCATTTTAATTTCTTCGTTAATTCCACCCAAATCAAATCCAATAATTTTTTGTTTGCAACCAAATACTCGCTTTAAATTTACCAAAACAGTTCGAAGATAATTAAAGAATGATTTATTTGAGCCGACAACAAAAACAAAACCTTTTTCACCTGGTCTTTTGACCTTTAAATTTATTTTTTTAATATATTAAAATATGTTTATTTTTGACTCTAACCCTGTAAGTTGATTTTTGTCTAAAATGAATTCAAAAATAATATTTTAAAGTTCAAGCAGTACAATCTGTAGACGAACAGTTATATGGGATGTACTGCTTGAATTATATTATAGCAACTTTTTTTTAGTTTTTGAATTTTTAAGTTTCTTTAAACTTTTCAACCTATTTTTTCCGTCATCAATTTCATTTAAAAATAAACCTACCTTAATTTTCTTTTTTAAAGTAAATTCATCAGATAATTTATATTTATTTAATAATTTAATAAATTCATAATTAAATTCCTTTCCATATATTTTGTTTATTGATAAATTGTTAAATTTTTTAACAGTAATACTATAAGCCATTTCTTGAGATTGACTAAAATTAAATTTTAAATTATGCAAAGTTAACTAAAATGTTCGCAAGTTCATTAAACTTATTAGAGAATATAACATTTCCGGAAAAGCAAATAAATATAACCTTCCGGAAGGAATATAATAAAACAATCTGTAAATTATTAATAAACTTTTTCCGGAAAGTTTTTAATAAATCGTTCCGGAAAAGGAAATAAATATACTTTCCGGAAAGATTAAATAATATTATAGTATATAAATATAGTACTTTCCGGAAGGCTTATAATACAACATTCCGGAAAGTAGTAATATAATTAATATTGTAAAATAAACTTTTTCCGTAAAGTTTAAATAAACTTGCTCTATTATTTAATTAATTCGAACCTTTTCTTTGTCTTACTATTTTTATTAAAATTTGTAGGTGTATTTTTAGTTACTTGTATAGCCTTTAAAACATTATATAGTAGAAAAAGTGTCGAAAAAATTATTAAAAATCGAATAATATAAAAATAAATAATTTTTGATTTTGATTTAATTTTTCTCATTAATTTCTGAAAATATTATAATTATATTTTAATTATCACAAAATAAAATATAATTTATGTTTAATATTAGATAAAATCAAATAAAACTTATAATATTATTAGCATTTTTTATATTTTAATAATCCATGTTTTCCAGTTATTAAATAAATCTTCCTAGTGGGTGGTCTGTGAAGAAGATTTATATTTTTATTTTTTAAATAAAAGTTTATATTTAGAAAAAACAACTTTTAAATTAATGATAATTAAAAAATATTTTTTAAAAATAATATTAAATATAAAAAATTAATTAAATAAAATTTCATTTTAATTAGCATTAATTTTGTATTTATATCTTGAGGAAAACCAATTATTTTATTTTATTAGATCTCCGGAAAACTTATTTATTTTATGCTTTCCGGATTTATGCCTTCCGGATTTTTTATGCTTTCCGGACTTATTTATTTTACGCTTATGATTTATTTTTTTTAATATTAGTCTATTTTTGTTTTGTCCGCAAAACGATAAAAATTTATTTTATAAAAATAATAAATATTAAATTAAATTAAAATGTAAATTAACATTAAACAATATTTATATTATCATTCAATTCACTATTATTTTTTATTCTTTCTTCCCTAATAGAACTACATGATTGTCCATTTGTATCATTTTTATTTTCAAATTCTGAATTGTTTTGATAGAATCCGTCATTTTGCGTATACGGATAATTTTTATTTCCTCCTAAAAAATATTTTCCAATTTTATTATTTTAATTATTTTTTAAAACCAATTGTAGATAATGAGTTTGTAGCTTTAGTAGAGCGACGTTTACCCTGATGAGTGCGTGGAAGCGTTCTCTTCTATGAAAAAAAATTTTTTCATTTTTTTTATTTTTTTTATAAAATTTAGAGATTCTAGAAAATAGCTAGGCTTCTAAAAAATCCGAAAAAAATTTTTCATTTACCGCAACTCTCCCTACTGGCTGGTATCTTGTTGAATTTGATGCCCAATAATGACAAATAATTACTGATGTAAGAATAAAACAAACACCAACTAGAACATTGCCTAAAAGCATCAATCCAGAAAGGCCATTTGCTAGGCCCGTACGAGATTTTAACTTGCTTAGGTGGTCTTTAAATTTTTTCAGATAAAATTAAAAATAAGATACCTAGCCAAACACCTGTTGTTATTACCTAAAATTTAAATTAAAAAATTTGGGGAAAAATATTTAAAGTTACAGATAGAAGATTAGCCACTGAAGAAATAATGCACCTATAAAATAATAAAATTAAATTCTTATTAAATTAATTTTTTAAGCATACATAATTAGCCAACAAACCAACATCGTCCTTTATATTGTTAATTTTAATTAATTAAATAAATAAAAAATTTAATTTTCTGACCAACCTCCAACGAAATCTTTAAAGAAATAAAAAATTTATGAAAAATTTGTTAATCATAAAACACCTGTGAACAGCTCCAAGTCCCATTCCCCCCGTAAATAACCCAACTAGGGAAGAGAGAACATTTATATGACAAGTCCCCTGATAAGCACTTTCCTAATTATATGAAAATTAAAAATAAAATTTTTTTATAAAAATCACTTGTTCAAATCCAGGACAATATAAGCCATGAATACCATAAATAGCGGAAATAAATATTTCTGCCTTGCATAGATGAGTAAGAATTTGTACATATCTAATTATTTTAAAAATGGTGTATTTTTCGTATTTTCTCAATACATTTCCGGAAAAATACTATGTTTTATTATAACTTTCAGGAAAAGATTTATTTTTAGATATTAATTGGGTATATTAATATTTTCAGGAAGCCTTAACATGTTTTATTTTATATAATTTCCGGAAAATTATATTTATTTAATTCTTTCCGGAAAAACATATATTCCTTAATATTAAAGTTGTATTCTATTACATTTCCGGAAAACTATATTATTTCTTAATACATTAATATTTCCGGAAAGTTATATTTATTTAATATTTTTCCGGAAGAATATATATTAGAGTTGTATTTTAATACATTTCCGGAAAACTTTATTATGCTTTAATATACAATTTCCGGAAAGTTATATTTATTTAATATTTTTCCGGAAAACATAGTTAATTTATTAAATAAACTTATACTCAGTATGTTGAAAGCCCGATCGTTGCATTACTGTAGAAGGAGTAAATTTTAAAGGGACAATATTTAATTTAATATCCATTTTATTTTTTTTAAAAATTTGAGTATTTTCTTTTCAAAAAATGTTTATCTACATTTTAACTAAATTTTTAATTTATTTTTATAATTAAATTTAACATTCAATCTTGCACATTTTTTTGTTTTTATTTTAATAACCAACCGGTATATGCCTTAAATTTGCGCCTAATTTGAGGAGGTGTGAGAGCCATCCCCCCTCCTCCAACATTATCACCATAATCATCTTCTTCTGACTCATCGAAGCAAGAACTCTATTAATTTTATTGAAAAGTTGGGTATAAAATTAAAGAGAAAAAGAAGGAATTTTACATTCTTGTGTGACTAATAATTTTATTTTTCAAAAATAAATTTTAATTAATAGAATTTTATAAAATAACAAAAATAATGTTAATCAGGTTCATTATAACCCAAGAAATTTTAGTGAATAATCGACCTTCATAAATTAATAACCCTGCTTATCTAAGCTAATGGAAGGGTAAATCGGAGGGTACACTAAAAAAATATTTTTTTTAATTTTATTTTCCCTTACACATTGTCCGCTATTTCCATTTCGACTGTTGCTGGCCGATCCATGGTGACTGTGATGCTGATGCCTGTCCAAAATTTCTTCAGGTATCATTATTCTTAGAGTAGGGTCTTGAATTGGTCTAAGAAAATCAAACATTTTCTTAAAAATAAAATTAATTCATGATATTTGCAGAAAACTAAAATAAAATTTACAGAATTTCAGTTGCGGACTAAAATAGATAAAAAATATTTTTAAAATTATATTTATTTAAAATATAAAAATCGTTAAATGTTTGCGATAATGATCATAAAATATATTAGAAAATGTGTGTGAAAAGTGGGTAATAGGAAAATTAATTTAATTTATTTAACGAAAAAACTGTCATCAATGAAACAATTTTGATCGTCGCGCAATGCTAAAAAAAGAAAAAATAAATAAATTTTTTAATAAAAAATGATTAAAAAATATTATTTTAAAAGAATAGTATGCATAAAAGGAAATATAAAATATCATGCGATATTATTTTGAAGAATAAATAGAGCAAAACGTATTTTACTTAGTTTAATTTATTGCATAAACGATAATAAATAGTATTTCCATTTTTTGATCAATTTATTTAATTATAGAAAACCTTCCGGAATGTTATATTTCCGGAGAATTTTATTGAATATATTTTGTTTCCGGAAAGTTGTATTTTCCGGAAAGTTTTCTATTTGAATATTAATTCTTTCCGGAAAGTTTTATTTATTTAATGTATTTCCGGAAAGATTTACTAAATATACCTATATTTAATTTTCCGGAAAGTTTTATTTATTTAATGTATTTCCGGAAAGTTTTACTAAATAAATTTAATTTTCCGGAAAGTTTTATTTAACTATTATTTATTTTATTACAATATAGGAATGCTATTTATTTATTTAAAAATGTTGAAGATGACAGACGAAAGTCTTTGACCTTGGGGGATATTAGTAAAATAAGCACATCGATCTGATCGATATAAAAATATTATTTAAAAATAATAAAAAGCTTAAAAACATTTTTATTTATAAATATTAAATGAATACGACATTTGCAGATTAAGGCTTAATCCGCAAGTGTCGATGCGCAAGTGCCTTTTTTATAAAAAAATTCATAGAAAAATTTTGAAATAAAATTTTATTATTATTTAATATTTTTAAACATCTAAATAATTAACTAAAATTTTTATATTTACAAAAACAATTATAAAATTCCTCATTTATTGCATTAATCCATTAAAGTCTAATATATTTGAGTTTGTTAATGCTTCCCCATTTTCACCAAAAAATAAAAAATCTGAAGAAGTTGGAAAGTCTTCAATTGAATTATTTTGGTTAATTAGATTGTCCGAATCTTTGTTAAAAAATATATCTTGGAATGAAGAATGGCCGTGTGCTGATAAATCGTTGAAATTAACCTGAAATATTAAAAACAAGATATTGAAATTAATATTTATATCTGAATCTAATTGCAGTTAGACCTCATTATAGGATATTATTGTTTTGGAATTGGAAAAAAAAATTTTGATCATTGGAACTTAAATAAGTCTCTTAATGAATTGGAATAAGTCATTTCAAATTACTTCTTAAACAGTTCCTCACACCCAGTTCTTCAATTAATCATTTTGCGGTCAAGTTTAATAATAATTAGCTTGTTATTAATGTTTTTTAGCGAAAGATTAATTAATTTAATTTTCCGGAAAGTTTTATTTAAACAATATTTATTTTACTTTTTTGCGGATTCTTCTTCAGGACAAACTTAATAACAAATTCAAAAAAAACAAATTTTTACTTGTTCTCCATCAAAAAACATATCATTATCATTACTACACCCAACATCAAAATCTAACGGATTTAAAGCTGTTTGATTAGAACAACATTCCATCATTGGACTATTATTAATATTTGTTGATGGCTCAAAATTCATAATTATATCAGTTTGTGTACTCATTTCACATTTTTCTGTTAAACATACACAAGATAATGAAGAGGAAGTAAATGGGGAAGAGGATGAATTAGAAGATGAGGAAGAGCATGGTTGGAGTGGAGGGGAAGGCTGTTCGTAGGCCTATTTGATAAATTGAATAAAATTTTATCTATATAGAGAGATATGATTTATCGGCTCCAAAAAGTCGAACATTTCCAAGGCTATTGATGACTCCGAAGAGAAGCCGAAACTAGTGGCTACTAATGGCCCAAATTTCTGATAATCCAAAAGTTTTAGTTTCTGAGGGCTCTAAAAGTTCCCAAGTTCCATGGTTCTTGTTCCAAAACATTGGAACCAATAAAGATCACTAGATGATTACCGAATAATTGCCATGAGAAGAGGATTCACCTCCCAGCATTGGTGGGCTATAAGAAACAGGTGGAGGACCACCGCTCGTAGTTAAATCAAAAGCATCCTCATCTGCAAGAAAAGCACTCAAAGGCCCTTCTTGATTATAAGAAGCTGTTTTTTCTTCATCCCCGTTATTAAATAATTCATTAAGTAAAGGATCTGTCCAGCCAAAAACTTGACAAAATTGCATATTTTCACTCATTAAACCAGAAAGAGTCTAAATAAAAAAGATTTTTAAAAATAAAATTTCTAAATTAACAGTAATTGTTGGCAACAATAATAATAAATTGCCAAAACGAGAGGCTGCATTTTGTGAAGGATGCAACTCTTTTACTGAATGAAAAAGCATATCTTGTACAGCATTGCGTAAGGCAGAGGTAGCATGTTGAGCTTCCTCCGAGAGGTTTTTAGCATCTTTAATTTATAAAAATATAACTATTTCCGGAAAGTCTAATATATTCTATTTCCGGAAAATTTAATTAAAATGTCCGGAAAGTTGGTAATAATATATTGCCCATAAAAATATTTTTCCGTAAAGTTGAATATATTCTATGAAAATATATTCCGGAAAGTTAAATAAATTAAAACATTTTCCGGTTCTATTACATATGATTATTCTTTATAAAATATATATTTCCGGAAAGTTTTCCGAAAAACATAAAAAAATATTAATTAAATACTCGGATCCAAAATAATGGTTGCTTTCAAGGCCACAACTTCCTCCTCCTTTAAAGCTAGTTTGCGCAACGGTCCAACCAATTCATTCAAGGTTCGATCAATTAAATTATTTGAAAGATGGCTAATTTATTTAAATAAATTTTAAAATTCAAATTTAACAAAATACTTTGATCCATTAAATTCTGCTGGTAATTTTCTAGGCACATAAGAAAAAGAACAAAGGCAGAGAATATCGGGATTTTGAGTTTTTTGAGCTGTCCGGGCAGAAAAATTAAAAATTGTTAGAGGAGCGTAACAATTTTTAACCATCGATATCTTTAAATGTTAAAAAAATATATCAAAGCTTATTAAAATTAATCTTTGCCTTATCCGAAGTATTTATATTAACTGAGTCAATGACCAATTCCATTAACGATTCTACCCAATCAACAGCGGCAATCGCACCTCGATGAGCAATTTTTGAAAGCTCCTCTGGTTTGGCCATTCTTGAGGGTTCATAACACATCTTTTAAGGAAATTTATAATTAATTTTAGAAAAGTATATAATTAGAGACTTCTCTCTATGGGGGCTCTTTCCAATCTAGCACCTCCTAAGGACTTGACTATCTCATAAACATATGAGGGGATAGCATGAAAGATATAAAATTTATTTTAAAAAATACTTGAGTTCTTTTAGCACTAGCTGGTCTATTTTCAAAGAGTTCTCTTAATGAAACGTTCTTTAAAGGATTATCATTATTGTTTTGATGAATATCATCAGTTGGATTAGCTAATTGTGAAGATGAAGGATTAAGAAGTGTATCTCCATTGTTTTCATCTCCTTTGGTTACCTTAAATTTATTATTGTTAATTGTGGATAGAGTTGTTTGGTCACTAGGAGGAGCTTATCCAAAAGAGAGAGGGCTGCTGGATTCAGACGTTCTGATCCGGAAAAGCCCAAATATCCGGTATCCGGGACTTTGCCAGGATCCGGGACTTTCCAGGTGTAATAGTGATAATACTAATAGTGAGTTATTATTATTATATAATAGTGAGTATAATAGTGAGTAAATTAAAATTTTAAACTAAATTTAATTTTACATTTAATTCAATATTCATTAATTGCATTAATAACAGTCTAGATTCCGAAGGTAATTTGCGAGTCCAGTCATTATTTTGGTGGAGTCTCATCTAAAATTATTTAGCATAAGACTATCTATTATTTAATTAATTTACCATATGTCCAATTAATTCTTCCCCAATGGGTCTTTTACGAACGCGAGGTACTCGCTGTTTTCCCGTCAAATCTCTAAAAAATTTATAATTTTTATTCAATTATCGAAATATTTTAAAACCTATCCGGCCGTACAGCTTTTGGATCCATCCCAACTTCAATACACCTATTAAATCGACAACACCGACAACTATTTCTTTGGAATTTATTAACGATGCATTTATTTCCAAATCGGCAAATATAACGATAATTGCCTAGATTAATTAAACTGATTTTATATTTAGTAAATTTAAACCTGTCAGGGTTCGTCTGAAAAAGCCCTAAAATAAATTAATTTATTTTTAATTTATTAGAAAATATTTTGCCTTGCAGCCGTAACATGCTAACACTCCATAGTGTAATTTGGCGTGACCCTGATTTTTAAAAAAATTTTCAGAATTTTTTTTGATTTTTTTTTAAATTTTTTTCTTCATTTTATTTATATAAATCCATCCAAAAAATGAAAAAAATTTTTTAAATTTATTTATTTACATCTCCACAAACAGCACATACAGCCGCACCTTCAACTACCACATTAGATGATATTGTAGAACAAGAAGGGGTAGAATCGTGAAATTGTGGGTGCTGCATAGAAATATTTTGTGAGGATTTTTGAATAAATTTAGGACTGTTTTTGGAAGATTCTGGATGAGAATCACGACGAATTCTGTATACGGGGGTTAGTGTAGGTGTTGAGTATATATTTGTATCTTCATTATTATTAGAGGAGAATATTACAGGCATTCGGGCATATGGAGTTGAAAGCCTTGTAAATTAATTTTTTAATTAAAAAATTTTTTTTTAATTTTAAGAGTATAATAATTAATTTAAAATTCAAATGAGATAAAAAAATTAAAAAAAATTTTTTTGAACGTTCATCTTTTAATAAAATTTAAAAGAGAAAATTGATCGAGAGTTGTTTGCGAATACCATGACAATGTTAAATTGAACGATAAATATTTGAACAACAAAAAAAGGTAAAAAAGAGAGATTGGGAACGTGTAGTAAGTCATGAAATTTTATATTAAATTTATATATTTAATTATTAAATTTTGATAAAATAGTATAAATTACATTAAACTAAGTAAATTGATTATTTAAAGTCATTAAAATTTTTTTTCAAATTTAAAAAAGGAAGTTGTGTTTAAAAAATTGAGAAGACCTATATTTTTAGGAGAATATTTTAATTATTCAAAAATAAATAGGACGACAGGTATATTTTTCTTTCCTAACTAGGTATCAAGAATTAATTTTTAAAATCCGGAAACTGAGGGTTTTAAAAATTAATTGCGGATTTTTAAAAAATTTTAAAATTTTTTTCTCGACTGTCGAAAGCCATGTTTTTCTCACCTTTCAATATTTTTTGATGTTTTTGTAACATTATTATTATTAGAAGGGGAGGAAATAATTTTATCACTCCTTGCGGAAGAAGACAATAAAATAATTAAAGGCTTTTGTGTGTTATTGTTATTAATTAAATATTCTTCTGAATTATTTATAAAATTGCTTGTTTCAATTTCATTTGTAGTTGAATGGACAATAAAATCTGTTTTTTGTAATTGAGGTGTTGTAGTTGTGTAAAAAGAATTATTAGAAGGCAAAGTTTCTTCTATTTGTTCCCAATAATCAAAATCCATTTGCTTAAAAATTTAATTTATTCTAAGTTTGCGAAGAAAGTTTAAGTTTGAATTTTTAAATAAAAGTTGGGAAAAAGTTTAAAACTTAAGAGTATGTAAAAAAAGTTTTAAGTTTGTAAAATAAAGTTCTAAAACTTAAGTTTGAGAAAATAATTTTTAAAAAAGGTTGCGAAATAAATTCAAGTTTGCGAAAAAAAGTTTTAAATTAAAACTTAAGGTATGCAAAAACAAGTTTTAATACATTCCAAGTTTGTAAAATAAAGTTTTAGAATTAAGTTTTTGAGAGCAAGTTTTAAAACAAAGTTTGCAAAATAAAGTTTATTTTTTCAAATCATTTCCTTTTTACCAACTTTAAAACTTTTTCCAACCTTTTCTAAAGATAATTTTGAAAAATAAACTTTCCGGAAAGAAATAAAACTTTATGGAAATCATGAGATAATAAAATACAGAACAAAAATGTGTAGTATGTTAATATATAAGTTAAATAGGAAAAAAGTTTTTATGTGTATTGAAATATTAAAATAAAAAATAAGCTTTTTTTCTCTAACTAAAACTTATTTTCAATGTAATATAGTGCAACAATAAAATGTTGAGAATATTATGGAGAGCGCAAACTTAATCCTTTATTTTATTGCCATGCAGAATTATTTAAAAAAGAGTGTATAATATTGAAAAAAATTTTTTTACAATTGAATGGAAAATTGTATTTAAGAAAAATTGTATTTTTGTATTTTTAATGGTTATGGATTTAAGCAATATTTTGGTATTTTTTTTAAATATAAAAATATTTAGCCTTGACTAACATGTGACCATTGAAGGGGTGATTTTATATTTAATAATTTTATAGACTGTAAATATTTTTATTAAATATATTTGACTGAAAATATGAGAGGAGGGGAGATTTGCATAAATACTAACATTTTGAAATAAAAATAGAATAAAAATTTTAGCCTGCCAATTTTGGGGAATTTTTCTTGTCAATTTTTTAGTATATCAATAATGGTAGAAATTAAGAATAAGGGAGAGACAGTGAAATAATTTAAAAAATTCCGGAATAATTCCGGAAAAAGAATTCGGAAAACAAGTTGGAAAGAAATTATGAGAAAAAAGTTCGAAAATTCCGGAAACATTCCGGAAACTAAAATTAAACATTAAATAATCTGTAAACTTTGTATCCAACTTTGTTTCAAAACTTTGTTTCCAAACTTTAAATAAAACTTATCTAAAAACTTAAAACCTGATTAAAAACTTTAAATTAAACTTTGTTAAAAAAAGTTGCGTAAATTATTTAAAACTTAAGTTTAAGAGTACAAAATATTAATGTAAAAAATTAAGTTTAAGACTGCGCAATCACTCACTTAAAAATTTAAGAAGCTTTTGTGAATTACTAGAAAAATGATGTGGAAGGGAGGGAGGGTTATATAAATAAAGTTAAAAAGAAGAAAAAAGCTTTAAAAAAATATTTCACAGACTTTTTAAAAAAAGATAATTCAACATTTTTAAGTGGAGGAAGAAAGAGAGGAGTAAAAAGAATAAAAAGAAAGTGAAGGAAAGGGAAGGAGAGCTTTGAAAAAAAATTTTTTTAAATATTAAAACAATAATTTTATTTTTATTAATTATTAATTCAATTAAAAAATTAAATAAAAACACAAAACATAAAAAAGCACAATAACCGACTGACAACGAATTTTATTAAAAAGATCCTTTTTAATAAGAAAATAATTTTAAGTTAATTTTTATTTAAAAATACACTTCAAATATTTAAAAACAAATAAATATATAGGTGGATAATAATATTAGTAGGTATGTTTTTCAGGTTTACTTATGTCTGGGGTTTGTGCAAATATTGTTGTTGTTCACTTTTCTAAGGAAATAAATGTTGAAAAGGAAGGTAGGTATTTTGCTAATCAAGTTTTTCACAGAAAATAATTTTAAAATAAATATGTAGTTAATAGGTTTAGACAAGTTAAAATTATGTTTTGGATTAATTAAAAATTAAATTTATTACCTAATAAAATAAAATAAAATTCAAAGTCATTTCCTCCACTAACTTTTAAATTATTTTCACTGCTTTTTTAAGAGAATTATCGACATTTTTTATAGTATAATAGACTTTTCTCGCTTTTGTTAAGTGCCAAAAATGGGTGTTATTATTGAATATATTATTGGCAAAAATTTGAAAAAAAAATAAAAAAAGAAATAAAAATATGAGCAATAAATTTAAGGGGAAGATTTTTTCAAAAATTTTAATTTTCGAAAAAAAAATTCTAAAATTTTTTTAAAATTTTCTTGAACGTTTTTCCCTATTTTTCCCTATGTCCTTTAATTTATTTTTTATTTTTTTTTTCAAAAAAAAATTTTTCAGAAAAAATGATAAAAATTCCATTTAAATTTTAATTGGTCTGTCGGTCCTTTCCTTTATCTTCCATCAAAATCCGCAAGTTTAGTCCGCAAAAAATTTATTTTAATAAAATAAACTTGCGGATAAATCCTGCGGACTTTTTGGGAACACAAAGAAAATAACCGGTCTATTATTAATCATATAACGCTTGAGAAAAGAAGAAGAACACAGACATTTTATCTTTTAATCTATAAATAACAATTATGGCCAAAAAATTTTGCGGACAGATTTTCTCTTTTATTGACACTCTGTCTGTTTTTATTTTTTTATTTTAATAATTTTCACTAAAAAAGTAAAAATGATTTAATGAGAACAATTATTTTTGCGTTATTTTGGCGAGGAAATGGATATTAAAAAAGATAGGAAATGCGCGATGTATTTAATAATATGTCCAAATGAATATAATTAAAGGGAGATACTTTTAAATTTGTGTTAAAAATCTATATAGGAGAAATTTAGGAAAAATTTTTGGAAAATTTTAATTAAAAAAATAAAATTATTTATCTAAAGAAGGAGTCCAGTATATCCAGTATAACAACATTTAGAACGTTTACTATGCAGGGGTTCATTTATTAAAGGGGTTCTTCACTTAAATATTAATGTAGGCTTTCACCTATTAAAAGTGAAGGTGGAAGCTATTAAGTAGAGCACTTTACGTGGTGACAAGGGACCTAGCAATAGTTCATCGGATCTGACAAGAAATCGCATTATTCGATGCTTGCTCGTGTCTAAACTTTTTTGCCTCTCTCATACTGCTATAATTAAAAAATAATAATTTTAAAATATCATTTAGTGTCTATTTTATTAATTTTAACGAAAAAAATTGGACAAAAATATTCAAAAAATTAATTCAAATATTTATCAAAAAAATGAATACGTGTCTTTTCAAGTCTATCAAAAATTATTAAAAAGAATTTATACTATGTTAACAATTTTCTTTCTTTAATTAAACAATAAAAGTTAATAGGTTAACTATTAAATTGTTAGTTTTTATCATTAAAAATGTAATTTAAAAAATTGCGACTAAAGCAGAAAAATTTTTTGATTATTAAAAGGGCCAGAGAAATAGTATATGTCTTCCTTTAAGAATATTTTTCGTTTATTAAAAAATTTTTAAAAATTCCTTAATGAATCTATAGACTAGAAACCGGACTGGAAGAGTCCTACGAGAGTCGACAGACTAGAAACCGGTCTAGAAACGTATAGACTAGACTAAAAACTGAAGAATAAACTAAAAACCGGTAGACTAGAAATCATATAGACTAGAAACCGGACTGGAAGACTGGAAGGGTCGTTCAAGAATCGAGTTCGATAATCGAAGAACATCGATCCCAACAACCGAGATTTTTCTTCAAGACTTGTCTCAGTTTTGTCCCCAGTATAAACAAGAAACACAAATTCTAAAAAAAAATTTTTGTTTATTTAAAAATTAAAAAAATAATAAGAATCATAATAGAGACGAGAAACAAATTTAAAAAAAATTTTTTATTTTTGAATATTTTAAAAAAAATTCAATTTCAAGTCAAAACAAAATCCTTCTGAATTCGAGGAATGTAAAAATATTGACTTCCAATTTCATTACTTAAAATAAAATTTTAAATTTTATTTAATTATTTTCTAAATACCTAGAAGGGTAAAAATAATTTCTTTCAGAATTTGTATATTTATTAGACCTATCCCTTCTTTTATGGAGCCAATTAATTAGT